GCCTGGCGCAATATGGTTCATGGGGTCACGAAGAGTCGGAGACGACTTAACGACTAAACAAATATAATAGCCACCATTTCTCTCCAACTTTGCACAAGAATTTCTTTTATCTGCATAATTTACACATTATCTGTAAAACTGCATCTCGGAAAGTGAGGTGAGGAAAGATAATATTGTTGTTCAAGGACATTATGTAGGCAACAGAACTCAGTCCTAAAATTTTTCTCACGCTGAATGAATTTCAGTTGTACTAGTTTAATATTTGGATGAGATCACCAGGAAATACCAGAATATGCATTAGGACTGGGAAATTGAAACATGGCAAACTATGTCCATATAATGTCAAAAAAACCGGCACTATCATGTTCATGAGTCATCATAAGCTCAACTGGAGGGCAGCCTTTACAGACTTTTCTATCTATCTATCTATCTATCTATCTATCTATCTATCTATCTATCTATCTATCTATCTATCTATCTATCATGTATCTATCATCATCTATCATCTATCTATCTACCTACCTAAAAAATATTTCAATATTTTTCTCCTGCTTTGCTGTTTAGAAAGCACCTAAGTGGTTGCATCTCTAAATGCTTTTCTCCATTCAGGCTGGAGGAGAAATTCCATGCAGGTTTAAATGCTGTATATTGTAAAGAAACTGAACCCTCTTTCTAATACATTATTTCTCTACCGCGATGTTCACTCAATATATTTAATGAGTTCAGCTAAAGACCTAGCAGATGCATTGAAACACCATACCAAACTTGGTTAGACTTAAGCTTGCTTTGATTGTTTTCGTTTTGGTGACGTATGGGGTGTGTAAATCCAGTTTGTTTGCTTTGCTCATTATGGGAATCCCCAAAATGGGTTAATTCAGAAACCAAATTAAGTGGGTTGTGTGAATCCACCCCTTGTGTAGGAGGACTATGAGACAGGCCTGTTAAATTTAAGGCTGCTTCAGGAACAGGCTTAAATGATTGCTACTCTAAAGGAGCACTTGAGCTGTTTAGCTAACATAGTCCTGGGTTTGCTAAATTCATGGCAGAAGTTAACCAGATAAGAATTCTGGGAATTCTGGGAGTTGAAGTCCACACATTTTACAGTTGTTGAGTTTGAGAAACACTGAACTAGATAAAGGACAGTTCTATCAATGTCTAGTAGCCTTGATGATTAGGTGTTACCTCCTGTCATGGGCATAGTCCACCTCTACCTTCTAGGTTCACAGGAACAACAACAGGAGAAGAAGGCTGTCTTGATCTCCAATTGATAAGTTTTTTAGATACATCTGGTGGGCCACCATGTGAAACAGAACATTGGCTAAATGAGCCAATCCAGTAAGGCCACTCTTGTGTTCTCATCTTCACGTTACAGACGAATCACAGAAAACCACCAAGTCTAAGCAAATCAAAGAGCTGATTTACGCACCTGATAATGGGCAAGAGTATTAAGCCTCTTCCAGTCATTCTCAATCTTGGTGGTGAGATCCTCATCTTGAAGGATCATCCTGGCCCCACTTGCCTGCCGCCATTCTGCAATGAGAGAGAAACACTTGTCACTCCCACCAGGAAGTGGCTGGGGAGAACAGTGACATGGCATCTGCTGCGTGAGTCACTGTAGTATGGTTTACATGTTAATCTGGCTAGGGCTTCACCTCCTCCAAGCCAGAGGGAAAATTAAAGTTCCCGATGCTACTCAGCATGGGTAGAATGTTTTCTTCTTAAGCACCAAACAACTGTGACAAATACCAGAACAGACGTCAGACCAGAAAGTCAAGACTTAAGTTATACAAAAACAGATTTTGATTGAATATCAGAAAATAACTCCTAATAATACAAGCAGTCCCACAGAAGAACCAAAGACCCAGAGAGATGGTGGCTCCCCTTCTTGGATGTGTTCAACCAGAGGCTGGACACCCAGCTGTTTGGGATGCTTTAATCTGGACCCCTGTACTGAGCAGAGGGTTGGACAATGGCCTTGAGGGCCCCTTCTATCACTGTGATCCTATCGTTCTCTGAAACTCAACACCTATCTGGCTTTAGAAGCCATTGCCTGCTTTGAGGTCCAAGGCCACCTTTTCTAGAAGGGTGGTCCCATCATTGAAATGCAAGGAACAGTTTTGCTCTTAGCTGCTTCCTGATCACTTAATTACAACGTATTCGCAAAACTGATGTTTTGCTTTCAATTCCCACTTTGGAGCCAGCTGGAAATCAACTTGCCAATTGCAGGGGAAGCATTACTGCTGAACTGAAGGGGGGAGTCTACGCAGGCAGCTTTGTCTGGAAGAAGACGGAGAAATGACAGAAGGCAAACTTCACCCTTCACCTTCTAATTGTTCAGCTACATTAAATGAACCAGTGGGCTTCCAGCAATGTGGAAAAAAGCACAATGAATTCTTGATGTGCGGCTTCCTCTACACAAACAAACAGCTCTAATAAGCTATGTTCTTTCAACTTTGGTGGCACAAGCGAATGTCATCCTAGATTAACCTGTTGACGTGTCAATGTATTTTCCTTCCCAATGATACTAAGGGGAGATTAGTTTATATACTTTCAAGCAAATTTGGTCCATGGAGATCAACTGGTTTTCATGAAGAAAGGGTTGGGTGATGGATAAGTATAATCCTGATCTACCCTGGATTATTCCCCAATATACACATTTCAAGTAAAGCTATAGTACAGGATCACAGATACCTGCTTAACTTGCATCCTACAAAAGCCAGAGCAACACGGTGCTTAGTCCACAGACACCACAGTGAAAAGATCTGTCACTCCCCGGCCCCCATTCTTAAATCATTCCAGATTTTCCAAAATACTTACCCGCTTTACATGGTGACTGTATTAACGCATTTTCTGAATTTGCACAATGGAACACCCAACAAACAAGCTGCATCGTATGTCCAACATGCGCACACCCCCACACACACTTAGAGACAAACAAAGGCTAAGGCTCACCGAACTTAACTATATTATATAAATTCAACTGCTGCTGAAGAGTGTTGTGCGAGCAGAGCTATATCAAAGCTAGGCAGAATTAGAGAATTCTAAGGGTTGAAGTCCACACATCTGGAAGATGCCAGACAAAGTTTGGGAAACATCAACTTTTCTAGATTCTGCTCTGAGTTTTATCTAAAACCAAGTATGGCAGTGAATGGGATTCACAATCCTTTTTATCTAAAATGAGCCAAGCTTTGCCTATTGGGTCAATACAGCAGCTATGTCTTTCACTGTCCTGGTTTAGCCTGTTTTGCAAACGCATCCTCTTTCTTGCCATACTTTGGTCGAGGATGCCAGACATCCCAAGAAAACGATATTCCCCATCATCTCCATCATTTGCATCCCAGCATTCCCAAACCCAGGGTTGATAGGGCCCTTCAAAGACTCATCTGTATTTGTCCAACATGCAAAGCTTGCTTAGTGTTGATCTTGGCTAGTTCTTATTGGGCCTTAGCATGCATGTCATTAAAACCTAGCCTCTTTGTTTAGCTTAAGGTTCAGTGTACAGATAGACCTCGCTTAATGACTGCCCTGTTTAGTGACCATTCAAAGTTACGACAGCACTGAAAAAGTAACTTTACAACCAGTTCTTGCATTTACATCCATCGCAGTAGGTCACATGATCAAGATTTCAGTGCTTCGCAACCGGCAGGCATCTACAACCATTGCAGCATCCTGTGGTCACAGGATTGCCATCTGCACACTTCACAGCTGGCTTCCAACAAACAGAGTCAATGGAGAAGCTGGCAGTAGAATTGCAAGTCGTGGTCATATGATGTCGCGCTTAACGACTGCATGTGATTCGCTTAATGACCGAATGGGAAGTGGCTGCCCTGAAGAAAATTCCTCCTTCTCCTGAACTGCCCAGTGGATTTCTCTACCCCAAAATCTGGTTGGATGGCTTTGGTTTCCAACTCTAGAAAACATGTAATGGGGAAGGGTTAGGATTTTTTACTTCGGCTTTGCTGAAAATGGCACTACCTGCCCCAAAGATGATGATGGGGCATGAGGAGGAGGAGGAGAATTTAGTCTATATTAAGCCAGGCTTGACTGCAGATACAAAGAAATAGCTATGGATATTTGACATTGCTGTAGCTGGAGTTAGAAGGGTCAGTGAGAAAGAGCTAGAAAAAAGGGGTAATATGAAGACCTGCAAATAGAGATCAAGTGAATGGAAAAAGAAAGTTGCAGTGCGGCCAGTAGAGGTTGCTGCACTTGGTATCATCCCAAAAGATCTGGGAAATCACTTGGAGACCAGAGGAATGGATAGAATCTCGGCTCATCAGTTACAAAAAGCTGCATTATTTGGAACAGCACATATACTGTCCATGTATTACAATGGTATCCTTAGCTGTCTTAGATCCTTGGGAAGGATTAAGTACCAAATCTGGTCAGAACTATCTGGTACACTGTGTGGAAATCAAAATTATAATAATGTCCTCAAGACATGCATTTGCTTGTAAGACCTGGGATAGATGCAAGGCTTAAACACATGGCGGAAGAGAGAGTCACTTTCAGGAGCAAAAGGTGGCCCTGCTGACAGTTCGATTCCTTTACAAGACAAAGTGAACATGTGAACAAAGTGAAGTGTTTTCTCTCTGTCCTTGGCTTGTACATCCCACAACGTCTGACAGCCCTTACCCAAAGGAGGCACGAGTTCTGATCCTGCTGAGTTTGTGGCATGTGTAGTTGTAACTTATATCTTCAGAGACAGGAGGAAGAGCTGCAGACTAGGCAGCAGTCAGATAAGAGGTAACTGAGCTCACAGAAGGAATGGGGGCATGGCAAACGTCTCAGAAGGGGCCCTCCCTAGCTTCTTGGGCTGTAAAGGCAGTGGGGGAGAGATGGCCTTTCAGACTTGCAAGATCCTGTTAACGTAACCTTACAATAAAGTAGAATTAGCTCATCTGGCCATGCTTCCTGTCTGGACTACCGCGTAAGGCGGACAATGGGTGGGAAAGGTAGGTTGCCCAAAGAATAGCATCTCCCTAAAAAGATATTTTTAAATGAAACAGCACGGTAATGACAACGTGGAAGCCACTGTATGTTCATAAACACTGACCACTGCCCAGGAGACCATGATGAGAGAAATAGGCTGACATGTTTCTCCTGGCATCACAGCTTCATGTAAGGCCAGAGTGGACTGAATAGTATCTCACTGATCTCTCTCAAGGATTTCAACAGTGCGGCGTGGGATTCCACACGATGTGAGATCAGAAAGTCAGACTGATGACTTTTGAGAAGCAACAGTGCTTTTTCAGTGCCTCTGCCATGGCATGAGATCACACAGCAATGCTCTAGAGTCCATCAAGATTGCAGATTCCTGCTCTGTACCGAAGAAAAATAGCATCATTTCTCAGCCTGTCTGTATCTCTCTCTATAGGATCTGCTTCCTTTTTAACTGGAGAGCTGCGTTCCAAGATTCAGAAGACTTGGAACCCCAAAGACCATAAGATCACAAATGGGAAGGAGACATTCACACAGTGTTGCAGGCGTTGAAATAGCTAATTAAAGGAAAGAATCCTGGACAGAGGAGTGTTTGGGCTCTGTTTGAACACACCCTGCAAAGGAGAGTTCACTTCTGTAAATAGTTTGACTGTTGAACAGCTCTAACAATTTGTTCTTTTCTTAACCTTCAGTTGGAATCTGCCTTCCGGTAATTTAAGCCCATTATTCCATATCCTGCACTCTGAATGATGGAGTCTTGACCTTCCATACAACATCCTTCCAGGCATTTGAAAAATGTTGCCATATTCCCCACCCCCCTACCAAGTCCTCTTTTCTTGGGGTTAAACCTTACCCAGTTCCCCCAAGTCTTCATTTCTGATCTCTGACCATCCTCACAACTCCTCCCTGAACCTGAGCCAGTTTTCTCTGAATCCTTCTTAAAAATATGGTGCCAGATACTGACCAATTTGCAATACGGTAGAGTTATTACTTTCCATAGTTTGAAAATTACCTTCTGCTGACATATCCTAAAGTTGTTCTGAACACTGCAGAGAATGCAAATGGGAAGGGAAAAGGGGCTTTGGTTGTTATTCCATCCTGAGAAATCGTTGGGAGAATTTATCCTCCCTTTAGGGAACCGGGGGG